TGTGTGTGTGTGTGTGTGTGTGTGTGTGTGTGTGTGTGTGTGTGTGTGTCTTCATTGTGCAGTAACAAACTGCTGCACTCCCCCTACCTTCAATCCACAGAGCAACACACATGCAGTCTTTTATCTTGCTCCCCGTCACAGGAAGGTCAAAGGTCAGGGTCGCGCTGCATGTATTGCTAAAAGCCTCTCTGGCAGTGTGGATAAGAGAGATACCGACGTCGGGTCGAGACTGGCCCAAATAGCTGAATCGGCGGGGCCAATCTATTCATTTCAATTCTATTTTTATATATTTATTTTAGACGGGAATACTAATTCCTGTTTGAGTTTTGACCAATTTGTTGCTGCATTAAAAAGGTTTACACACAATTTGGGGGATTCTTTACCAAGTTGCTGGTGTGTGATTTATTATTTAAAAATACAGTAAATGTATATCAATTTATTACATTTTGTTTTACAAAGTTAGGAAAGCGATGTACAAGTCCAGCCTCACACATAAAGGAATGATCCCAGTCTCCTCCACACAGTGATGCATACAGCTTAGTAATCAACCGCTGGTATCAGCCGATACCAAAGCTCAGGTATCGTTATCGGGACTAGAAAGAGTCTGATCGGTGCATCCCGAGGGTGGATGCTTATTGTTATTAAGTTGAACGTCGTCAACCCAAGAATCATATCAGCAGTCTAAGTTTAACTCAGTGTTTGTCCCTGTTCACGCCGTGTGTGTGTGTGTGTGTGTGTGTGTGTGTGTGTGTGAGTGTGCACACAGACTCGTGTGTGTGAGTGTGCACACAGACTCGTGTGTGTGAGTGTGCACACAGACTCGTGTGTGTGAGTGTGCACACAGACTCGTGTGTGTGTGTGAGTGTGCACACAGACTCGTGTGTGTGTGAGTGTGCACACAGACTCGTGAGTGTGCACACAGACTCGTGAGTGTGTGTGAGTGTGCACACAGACTCGTGAGTGTGTGTGTGTGTGCACACAGACTCGTGAGTGTGTGTGTGCACACAGACTCGTGAGTGTGTGTGTACACAGACTTGTGAGTGTGTGTACACAGACTCGTGTGTGTGTGTGTGCACACAGACTCGTGAGTGTGTGTGCACACAGACTCGTG